TCGGGCTGCTCTGCTGGAGTAGAATGTGCTGCCTACCGGTCGGGCTGCTCTGCTGGAGTAGCATACGCTCCCAACCCGTCGGGTAGCCCGCTTGGATTGCCGCGTACTTTTTACAGAGCAGCAGCATCCCGACTATGGCAGAATAGGCTCGCCCGCAAATCTGCGCCTGCCTCGTCCAGCTATCTGCCTTAATGTCACCCCTTTGTACTGATTGCCGGTTCTCTGCACAGACGTGGAGCACGAGGTCCGCTGCCTGCGGCGGTGGGTGCGGGAGATGGAGGGGCGCCTGCAGCCGTTGGACCTGCGCGTCGGGAGCAGCTGGGGCTACCAGGAGCTGCAGCAGAAGGCCAAGGAGTACCTGGTACGTACAGATGTACTTATTAAAACATCATTTCCCGATGTAATAAGGCGATTTTGTATCATTTTCCGATTTTCGTCGAAACTGAAACGGAACGAATTTGGCAGTTTTGATTTGTTTAATCATTGACCTATGAATATAATTTTCTTGGCGTGCTCAAAATCCCGAACATTTTGCATGTTCAATTTCTTTTTAAGCAGTATCTTCTAAAGTTTACCGGAGAAATCAGTTAGTCCGACAGCCTGGGTTACTATGCCCCTCTCTCCCTTCTACCGCGGTGGTCTAGCGTAGAGTTGCACCCAGCGGGGCACTTGGACCCGATTCATCTCCCCCTCTCCCCCTCTTTGCGCTATGCTCATTTTGCCGGCTCCCTCCTCTTCACGAGCCTTTGGCTATGCCCCCCTCCCCCTTCCCCTTTCAGCTTCTGACCGCTCCCTCCTCCTCCCGTGGGTCGTCGAACCTCGTACCGTGACAGAAGCAAAGGCGGCGACCATGGAGAAGCCCTGTGAGGAGCAGTGCCAAACTGTGTTGAGGAACGATGCCCCGATGCCCCGCGAGAAAAGAAGATGCGCTTGCCCGAAAGTAATTATAGTTTGCAGTTCATAATGCATCTGTTTCCCTCGCCTGGGTGAGAGGGGCGGGGCGGGCGTGCAGACGAGGGTCAATGTTACTTGCATTGGCGGCGTCCTGTGGCGTCGCGTGTGTCCGGCCGTCCGGCCATCCTCGGCCCGCACTGCCCCCCTCCCCACCCCGTCAGCATGTCTGAGTGGACGACCCAGTCAATGTCCTCGTAGAGTAGACTCGTAAAGAAGCGAAGCACTACTTCTCGTTATTTGCATTATCACGGGTGCTCAAATTTTGGAATTTGAGTCAGTGATTTTTCCACTACATTCTCATTCTTATTGCAAACACTTTTTGAAGAAATTCTTGTTTTTCACAAAGGAACAGCTGTGAGAAACATTTTTTAAAAAAAGGCCTTTAGGATTTTCCAAAGGACTCCGTACATTCCACGTGTGGAGTTTTGCGTCGAAACACATGTATGGACGACTCGCTGACAGGTCGTAGGTGAGAGTGAATCCTCGGGATATCCTAACAAGTTTTTGACGGTGAACAAAAGGCTTAGGTCACTATTACCTGCAGACATACGCCTTGGTCGCCGCGTCTTTCCTAACTCTGCTAATCTAGAAGCTAGTTATAACTGTGCAGTAATCCTAAAACTGAAGAGTGTTTGCAACTAAGTAATGTTTTCACCATTGTGGTGTTGTGCCGTGGATACAGCACTTGCTTCCCTGCGCCATACGGGGTTCCACAGTTATAACTGGTCAACTTTAGGTTAACAGTTTCCACTACACCGTCAACTTGTTCTGCTTTTAGATTAGCTGCACATTAGCAGTTCATTACTGAAAATAAATTGATACAAGCACTGACTTACACTTACGTCTGCTGACTTCCTTTCAGTTGCGTTTTGTAAACTAAACAGTGTGCCACTATACACTGATTCATACCATACACATTCGGCCCTTGAAACAAACGCTCACCTTCGTCAAACCAATATGAAAGGTTCTCACCTCTGTGGACCGTTTAGAAAACAGCTTTAATGGCCTTTTTTATTTACGTTCTGATACCAAATCCCTAATAAAAAAAAGAATCCCATTTTTAGTTTCTAACTCCGAATCCCAATTTAGTCCCAAATCCCAAATCCCGAAAACTTGCCAATACGGGTCAAAACAGGGACAGGGGATTCCACCATGGTATTACACTCAATCCCTTCGGTATCCCATTTGGAATCCCGTGGCCATGCTGTTCACGGGAACCGATAGAGCCTAGCTACAAGTTTGCTTCTAACGATATGTATATTTACATATTGTACAGTTGTAGAGTACTTCCCGGCCATGTGAGCTCGCCTGACATGTTCAAAATGACCTAAGAAGCTTCCTTTACCATTTTCTAAATTCGCCCCGAAACGGCTTGTCGCGGGGAAAAGGGGGTTTAGAGGGATTTCAGAAAAAAGGGATTTCAGAAAAAAGGGATTTCAGAGGGATTTTCGAAAGTTTCGGTCCTCTTTTAGTCCCTAAAAACAAGAGGGAGTATGTTGGTACTAAAATGGGTCCGATTTGGGTGTTTCCCTTCTATTAGGGATATCTCCAAATCTTGTAGAAAAGTACTCCGCAAACGTTTGCCAGAGGTGAGTAGATTTTTAATAGGTCGCTCAGCTTTTTATTCGGTCGCTAGGGGTGAGCTTTTTTTCCCCTTTTGCCGAACTGATTTGTTAGTGGACATGGTGTATGCTCACTGAATATCATTTTATGTGGCAAGTATGTCTTTGTAGTGTACGATGCTCAACTGTTCCATTTTGTGTTTAGTTTCATTTGCTTAGTAGAAAAAGTCCCTGAGAGATCCTATGTTTTACCGGTACAAAATTCCAATGGGTCCATTTTCTGTTCTTGCCTTTACACGAGGGGGCAACAGCTCCGGGTATCATGCGTACACCTGCCTGTGAACATCCGGATAGAAAATAATCGAAATCAACAGCAATCGCTTGAACTAGTCGGGAAACTAGAGGACCTGGTACAAATGAGTCGATATAAACAATTTCTTCCACTAAAACCCTTAAGGAATGAGTATAAGCGGACGGGAATCACTGGGAATCAAGATTTTTGGTAATCATGTGTACACTTCAAAAGGAAGTTATTGCCCCCTCACCTTTACATTACCGGAAATGCAGGAGTGATGTGTCTCGTCCGAAAAGAGAAGCGGAACTTCTCGTTGCCCAATTTGAACGACGTCGGTTTTCATCACTCTCCCGCCATGAAAGTCGCGCTTCTGCAGTTTCATCAGTAGATAAACGTTTGAAGGTGCGTTCCAACCTGAAGTCCGAATTGTCTCAGCCCGCCACCTGTTTATTGACCCTCAGCATCGCGAGGGTCCCGGGGGGACTTTCTTTTCTGACACGCGTTGCGTCACCGCAATGAGGCTTATCGCACGGCGCGAGTGAGTGGGGCGTTCAGCAGGGCGTATTGCTCCGGAACATTTGCTCAGCTCTGTGGCGGACAGAAGCGACGCCCCGCGGCCGTTTTTTCTATCTCCCTCTCCCTCTTCTTTTTTGGTGTTTAAGGGAGAGGGGTATTCTGCTCGGAGATGGGGCAAGCAGCCGACAGCAGAAGCCCGTTTCGCCCGCGTCGTCTGTGTCTCTGTGTCTCGTTGTGTCTTTTGTG